TCAGTCAAAGAGATCTTCCTACCACCTGCTGTGTGAGCCTTTTTTTTTAAGGCAATGCCAAGAACTGAACCAGGAACTTTCTGCATGCTTTGCCCCTCTTGACCATGGTTAAGGAGGAAGGAGAATGTTCATTCAGAGCAGTGAAGGCCTGCAGCACCACTGGGGAATCTCAGGCTCTGAATGCGGCCCCCAAGTACCTCTACCAGGCCCCCAGGACTCTCTCCTGACCACACCCCTCACAATATACCCTCCCAACAGTGCATGGCAAAGCTGCTTTTGAAAGGCAAGGAACTTGGAAAAGCAGTCTGAGGCCTGGTGTTAGTCTGCTGCTTCCTAGTTTATAAATGCTGTACTGATTTGTTGATCGCATAACACGACTTTTCCTTGAATTGTGGAGTCCAGCTTATTTTTTAGTTGCTGCTTTGTTAACAGTGTTTTATAGACTGCAATTGTTTCACTGATGATTTGTTAGTTGTTCTAGATGATTCACGCTGCATTTGTGGTGTTCTCCATCAATCTCACTTACTGGCATGCACAGGATGCAGAAGTATTTAAGTCAAAGCGTAAAATTGGCATCTGTTCATAGAAGGAGATGCTTTAAGATAAAACTAAGGTTAAAAAGTGCCTCTTGAGTCTTACAGTGATGTGGCATCTCTCAGAAATTTTGCTACTTTCTCCACAAGGCCATTAATTATCCCATATGATTTATGCTGCATTTATTATGTTGCATTTAAATCTCTTTGGGATTCTTGAACAAAACTGTAATAAATCAAGCAAATCAATCCATCTGTTCAACAAAACAAAGGAAATCAATATTCCTACTGGACTAGATGGGCCTGATCCTGCAGGGCCATCCTGGGGTTCTGATGTAGCCAGGAGGGGATCTGAACGGAAGCCTTCCCTGGACTAAATTCACATCCACAATACGCAATGAAAATACATTAATTTTCCCCAAAGATGCCTGGGAACTGTGTGTGCTGGCAATTGCAGTTCTGTGAGGAGCAAACTACAATTCCCAGGGTTCTTTGGAGGAAGCCATGTGTTTTAAATGCATGGTGCTGATGTGATCTATGTCAGTGCCACAAACTTGACACAGGCTAATGGAAGCGTCAAAGGTGCATGGCTCACAGCTCATCAGAGCACATGAGAATGGCATTAGGTGATGGTCTTTAGTGAGATCTATTCCTGTTGGAGCATGTAGGATGGACTCCTAGACTGAACATATAGCAGGAATGGGCAGCCTTCAGTCCTCCAGGATGTTGCTGGACTCCAGCTCTCAACCTCAACGAGAGCAAGGGAGTTGGGAGACCATCAACACCTGGAAGCGACAAGTGACTACCTAGGATGAGTTGCATTGTGGCGTTTCCCCAAAGCAGAATACTTGAGGAATCTGTACAGTTGGTCGTAGCTGATTTCAGAGTCTTCTCCAAACACTTTGGCAGACAAGCGGGGCTGCTTCTCCTGAAAAGAACGAGAGAACCGGCTCAGGATTGTTTACAAAGACAGAAAGCGTTGAAGTGTCTGAGCTGCCACTGAATGGATTCCAGAAGGGGACTTGTCTCTTACAAAAAGGGCACAGAGAAAATAAATGAGCGAGCAGGGAAGACAGAGTGAGCATACAGTATTTTGATTATGCATAACTTGACATCACTTGGAAGCTATTTACATAAACACAGCAAATGCCAAGCGACTGCAGTTGGACGTGCCATTTGCAAAAATCCTCCGCTGGGAAGTTAACAACCCTGACTGTGAAAAAACACATGAGTCATCCTCTCAAAAACGACCTTGCAGGGTTAGAAATGGTGGGGGAACTTGGCTGCCTGCTTTCCTACCTTTCGGTTTATAAGATTTTAAAACTTGACCCACAAAGTGCTTTCAATCTTGTCTTGATTTCATGAGGGCCAGAAGCTTGAGTTTAATTTTGCAGAATTCAGGGAGGAGCACACTTGCTTCACACAAACATGGCCTGGAGGTGATCTGTCTTTAGATGATGGCCACTTTTGATCAAGTCTGGCCTTTTACAAGAGCTCTACTGAATTTTGCCCCAGTGAGCATTCAGGCTGCTGCATTTTGTACTATCTGCAGTTTCCGGGACAACTTCAGGGGAAGCCCTGCAAAGAGTGCATTGTAGTAATCCAGTATGGAGGTGACCAGCACCCTGAAAACTGTGGTTAGGCTACTCTGGTCCAGAAATGGCTGTAGCCAGGTCAACAGTCAAAGCTGGTAAAAAAAGCACTGGATTGTATCCAGCGCTAGTCCTATTCAGAGTTAACCCACTGAAGTTAATAGGTGTGACTAATGTAGGGTCATTATTTCCAATGGGTCTACTCTAGTACACAACGTTACTTTCTGCTGAGATTGGAGACTGAGGGGCTCATCCACAGAACTGATAGCAGATCTCCTGCAATAGCAGGAACACTTACATCGCTTTTAGCTTTCTGCTGGTTTTGGCAAACATCGCTTTCATCAACCTTCCTTCTCTTTTTAACCTTCTCTGTCTTTTCATTATCTTCATGGGGCCGTTTCTTTTTCATGACATGGGTTGCTGTATCCATTTTGTCCATCAGTATGGGGTTGGGGTTTTTTTCTTGGGGTGTGTATGTGTGTTGTATCTGCCAAAAAGAAGAATCAAGAAATAAAATAGCTGGAAACAGATTTAAGTTGAACAAAATAGAATGAACCCCACAACACGATTTGGCATCCCTTGGCAGGCACAGACAGAAGGAGGAGGAAATGGCGTGGTGGGGTGGATTGTGGGAACCTGGGTTGGAGGCAGGCAAATCTCCTCTTTTCACTCAACTACAGTTGCTTTGGAAGAGGAAGAAGGGATGCAAACTCTCCCCTCCAACCCACATGTGGAGCAGAAAGCCTCAGTGGAGGTTGCATAACAGTGGTGGCCAAACTCGGCCCTCCAGATGCTTTGAGACTACAATTCCCATCATCCCCGACCACTGGTTCTGTTAGCTAGGGATGATGGGAGTTGTAGTCCCAAAACATCTGGAGGACCAAGTCTGGCAACCACTGGATAGGGTTTTGATCTGCTGAGGGGGTTGTGGGTGACAGGAAGAGGCAACTGATCAGGAAGGTGCTTGTCATCTAGACTCAGGAGCTGCCTTCACAGATGGAAGCAGACCCATCTACCCCACCAGAGAGCACACTCTCAATCTCAACATCCCCACAAGGCAAGAGTCTCCTGAGTGAGCACACCACGTCTCAGCTTTAAAAGCTTGGTAGGATGGGTGGTGAAACTTGTTGTGACATCTTCGTTGCTTCTGTTTGGTTCTGAACTTCTTGCCCTGCTCTTGAACTCCTGAGTCCTGTGTTAGCTGCTGAGCCTGTTCTGCTAGCTGTCTGAATAAAGACATCTTTCTTATTTACAAGTTTGTGTGTTTTGGGAGGAAACCAGGGCAATGTTCTGCCACATTTTAAATGGGTTTCAGCATGGTGCAACTGTGTTGTGGGAGGGAGTAGAGGCTGCTGTTTTGTTTTCGTTCTTTCATTTTTGTGTGTGTTTTCTTATCTTGTATTTTTGTGTTGTGAGCTGCCTTGAGATCTATGCATGGAGGGTGGTATACGAATTTAATAAATAATAACTGGGAGCATTTACACAATGGTTCCAACCAGTTAAGCTATTTATGGTCACAAGACAGTATACGTTTGTTCTATGTTTTACGTTTGTGCACTCAGAAGTCCTGCTGAACTTAATTGGGCTTACTCTCTAGGAGATGTGCCAATGATTGCAACCTATACCACACTGAAAGCAGTGGGGAGTTTGGTGTCTTCAGCTTCTCCATTGCCTTCAATAAGGGGCAATGAAATGGGGTGCCCTAGAAACAGAAGCACCCCCCCACTGCTGTTGCAGGCCCTCCCCTTTGAGAACACCCAAATTAACAATGGCACTTAAAAGTAAATCATGAATAATCTGTACCAATGATTTCAGCAGGACAAAAGCTCCCACATACCTGAGAGGAAACCCCACTGACTTGAACAGGACACACTTCTGAGTAGACATGGTTAGGATTGTCATGTTATTCTAGATCCAATCCACAACTGAAGGGGAAGCCATTATAGAACAAGCATACTTCTAGTGGAGCCAAGCACATGCCAGACCCTCCAAGTGTCTATTTTCCAGGGGCATCCCTGATTTAGAGAAGTCCTGGTTTCTGATTTGATCCTGGAATGTCCCGCTTTTCCTTAGGATGTCCCTATTTTCATTGGAGAAATGTTGGAGGGTATAGAGCCATCCAACCCCCAAACCATCTGAAAGCCATCCTGTATAGGGAGTGGCTGGAGCAACCCAATAAGATGTGTGGGGTATAAATACTAAAATTATCATTATGGAACGGGAGGTCCCTATTTTCATCGGAGAAATGTTGCGAGGGTATGACATGCATAATAATAATAAAGGGAGGAAATAAATGTTGTGTCGTGAAAAGGCTGTAATACACACCATACAATTAAAACAGATTCCCCCTCCCCAAATCCTGGGAACCGTAGTGTGCAATTCCAAGCACTCATAACAAACTACAGCTCCCAGGATTAAGCATATGGTGTGCATGGCAGCCTAAATAGCATGGAGCAGGTGCAGGGACACCCACAGCGTATGCAATAATGGAGAGGAGACTCAAGACTGCAGGTTATAGAGCCAATGTTAGCACTACTCAGAGTAGACCGCTGGGAGACCTGCAGCCATGTGCGTTTATCCGTGGAGGGGGGGCGGGATTCCTCCTCCTCCTGCTGCCCTCTGAAGGCAAACCCCGCATAGCCGCTTCTCCCGTTCCCGTCCCCCCCGGGGACACAGAAACGCCATTCAAAGAACGGCGGTCGTTTAAGCAGGAGAGACGCTCACCTTCTTCCTCCGTTTGCCTCGCGGGTGGAGAGTGGAGCTCCCAATCGAGGAAAAGCTTCAGATCGGCAATCGTTTCCTTCGGCCTAGGCTACTCACCCACTCACCCGCTTTCTCGGAGCGCCGTATAGGCTGTTGGAGAAGTCGCGAGCGGGGACTCCAGAGAAGAACGGAGAGCTCCCCGGAAGTCAGAAGGACCAGGCCCTAGTAGCCGATTTGTCGACGGCATCGATAAGAGGCGGGATCCGCGGGCTGTTCAAAACGGAGGCCGGAAACGGAGAGGAGTGGGGAGCGTGGAGCGTTGGGGGATGGGGGTGGGAGGCCGTAGCCATGGCGACGAAGAAGTTGGCCAGGTGAGGCCTACAACAGGCGCTGCATCCTTCTTTTCCTCCATTTCCCTAGTGGGCTCTCGGATTGATTGATTGATTGATTGATTTTTTAATTTAATTTAATTTAATTTAATTTATACACTGCCTTTTTATCCAAGGAGCTCTAGGTAGCGCACGTGCCCCCCCCCCCCCCTTTATTCATTTAATCCACCCAACAACCCTGTGAGGTTGGTTAGGTTCAGAGGCAGTAACTGGCCCAAAGTCACCCAGGGAGCTCCGTGGCTGAGTGAGGATTCTAACCCTGCTCTCTCAGGCCCTAGTCTGGTGCTCTAACCACTGCACCACCCTGGTTAACAAGCCCTGTGGGTTTCTTTTCCCTTGGGAAAGTTTGGATGTTTAAATTAAGGGGGTGGAGGGAGCTGGTGAGAAGAAAAGATGCTGCCAGATGTCTGCAACAAGCTCCCATTTCCCCCCTGTTCTCTCCCTCTTTATCCCATTTTTTTGAGCTTTGTGTAAATAGGTTGCAGGTTGGGCCGCTTGCATTTCATTACCAGTTGTCCCAACTGTTCTCCACACTTTTTCTCAAGGGATTCGGGAGCCTCAGGCCTGAATCTCGATCACTTGGATACCCCCCAAAATATTGTTCTGCTATTGAGAGATGAATTCTTTCAGTATGTGTTTGAATTTTTATTTTTGTAGGCAGCTTGGCATTATTAGAAGAATTTCTAAAACATCGCCCGGTGGCCAGAATCATGGCAAACCCAAACTAAGTGAGTACTGTGTCTGAATTGCAAAGCAAAAATTGCTGTTTATACTCTCGCAAATAACGCAATCCTCACTTGATTTTGTAGGGCAATTGTTTGACTACTTAATAATTATTGATTTTGAGTCTACGTGCTGGAAAGAAGGCAGAAAATGTTACACTCAAGAAATCAGTAAGTGGAGATTTAGTAATATTGTTTGAGAACTGCTTCTGTGTGATTGGTAAATTAATAATGGAGCTATCAAAACATTGCTCATGCAGTTTATTTGTGTATAATTCCCAACCTACCTATCCCAAACTACATGTAAAATATTCATATTTTGATACTTAAGTTACATGAATGACTGGAGGTGGGTGCTGGAACATAACAGCCCCTGGTATTTGGGGCACACCTCTTACTGTAAGAAGTTTTCAACCTTTTTGAGTCTATGGCTCCCTTGACCAACTACATCCTTTCTGTGGCACTGTTGTAGGGCTCAGGAACCCAGTTATGTCACCCCTTGCCTGCAGAGCTGGCAGCCTTTCACCTTTTTCAAACACCCTCCCTTGTGGAATGTTCCCTCAGCCTCCTCTCCCCTCTCCTCGCCTTGGGAGTCCTTCAGATAGCTGCTGCTGCCACCCCTGGTCTCTGAGCTGCCCCCCCCACCCCAAAGAGAGGTGTCTCCTCACACTGCCCCATAGGGGCATGGGAAGTACCCCCTGGTCAGCTCCAGAGGTACCATTTACCTGGGGAGCCTGTAGCCAGGGCTGTGCTGCAACAAACAGGTGTGCAAGCATTTTGGGAGTCAGAGACGTTAAGAGGGCATCAGAAGAGGGAGGGAAGGAAAGAGGGACAGAGGCCAGTGTTGCCCACGGCACCCCTGACCATCGTTCAAGGCACCCCAAGGTACTATACAACACTGGTTGAAAACCACTGCCTTAGATGTAGCAGCTCATGCAAAGAAGTCTCTGGCCATTGCTGCTATTGGCCACAATTCAAAGCTTTATGAGTGAGACTTCTTTGAACATGAAGGATTCAGCATGACCTATGCTCCGGCTTCCCCAAACCCTATAGTACTGGGAAATGTGACCCATGCACCCCAGTTGAATGCACAGCACTTTCTTGAGAGAACAAGGCAGCTTGTGATTGGTTAAACTCTTTGCTTATAAATTAGAGTTTATTGGATTGGGGTTACTAAAGAACCAAGAGCATGGAGCTTAGGAGAAGATGTCTTCAGTGTATTGACGATTCCTCATCCAAGGATTTAATACACACTTTGAAAAGGAGAGGGAACAAGATGGAACCTTGTGGGATTCCACTAGGAAGGTCCAAATGAGAAAAGGACGATGTATTTTTGTCCAACAAGTGGAATTTAAATGGTACCAAACACTACCATGCTGTGTGTGTGTGTTTTTAAAAAAATAAACATATTTTTATTGAATTCCAATATATAAAAATTACAAAAAAGAGAAGAAGATACAAAAACAAAACCCCACTCACCTCTCGCTCCAGGACAGATCAATCTAGTTAAGTTTGTCAAAGTCCAATCTGTGATTTCGGTGGTTGTCATTCTGTTAAGAAAACTCACCCTTCTTAAACTAGCCAAAACGCAGTAGCTTAGGGATTGATTGATTGATTGATTGATTGATCAATTGATCAAAACATCTTGGCTTATAAGCATTCCTAGGAGCAAATAGATGAGCTTGTCTTAAAAAATATGAATTGATTTTTCAGTGGTATTAAAACATGCTGAAATGTTTAGCTTGTTTAAACCTGGGGCACGGTTGCAATTAATTGCATTTTTATCTCTTCCTCTCTCAAAGGAGCTTAGAAAGATTTATATAATCCCCTCTCTCTTTTATACTCACAACAATCCTGTGAGGTAGGTTAGGGTAAGGAAATCTAACTGAACCAATGTATTTTATGACTGGGGGGCGGGGGGGCCTTAAACCTTTGACCCAGCACTCTTCAACTCCATCTGTAAAACTGCATTTTTAAGAATGCTATTTCTTTAAAATAAACCTGATTTGGAATGAAAATGTACTTTCTTTAGTTGAATTTCCAGCAGTTCTATTAAACACCTTGAATGGAGAGATTGAATCTGAATTCCACATGTACGTGCAGCCTCAGGAACATCCCATTCTCTCTGAATTTTGCACTGAGCTAACTGGCATAAAGCAGGTACAATTTTATTGTTTCATGTTGCAGTCAATTTGCAAGCTAAGCTCATAGTTTCTAGTTGGTTTTGAAACCATTGAGGTGTTGTTGACCCTGTTTCACTATGCCTGACAATGAATTGTGTTAAGGCTGAGTGTAAAGCAACACTTGGATACTGTCAAAAATACTAAATGTATCTTGTTCTCTTCTATTAAGAACCAAGTTGATGAAGGCGTCCCTCTTCATATATGCCTGTCTCAGTTTTCTAAATGGATTCAAAAAATGCAGAAGGAAAAAAACATTGTTTTCAGTTCAGGTCATTCTTCGGAAGGGAAATTATGTGCTTTTGTTACATGGTCAGGTAATTCATAGTACCTTTATAAATATCTGATTTCTTACACTGAAAGTGGTTTGAAGTGATTTGACCCTCTTGACTTTGCTTTTCCACTTCCTTTTTAAAAATCTTTCAAGGCTGTATTTGCAACATGTGCTAGAAACTGGTTTAAGAAAGCAAAAGAAAAATGAGGTTTTTATTGGATAAAATACACACAAAACTGAGTTGGGAGGTGCAATGCACAGTTGTGGATTGCGTACTCCTCAGCAGTTATGTGTGCATTTCACGATCACACCATAGAGCGGACTTAGTCCCTAGGTATCTTTTCCTACTTTAATTCCTCATGTTTCTAGCCCGGCGAGGAATGGCTGTCTGATAAGACACAGTTACTAATCCACACGGAAGAAAGCTAGAAACAATAACAAAGCATAAAACATGAAAGGTTTATGACAGTTTGTTTGTTCTACAGACTGGGACCTGGGTGTGTGTTTGCAATACGAGTGTAAAAGAAAGCAGCTGAGAAAACCAGATGTTTTAAACTCCTGGATTGATCTCCGGGCAACTTACAAGGTGAGATCAGACTGTGCATGTGTAATATTCATGAAAGGAATGCGGAAATGGCCAATTTTGCTAGCTGAGAGCTGCTTATTGTTTGGATTGCCGTGGTCATGGTGTAACTGGCAGCCTGTCTACATCTCCGCAAGCTAGATCATTGGCCAGATGAAATAAACTTTTGCTGCATTTCTACATTGCTTATAATACTGTCATGTTAGTTCAAACCTCCCATCTGTTTTACTCCTTTCCATCTCTCTTCTTTTCTTTTATTAAGTGTTTTCCTTCGCTGGTGACATAAAGATCACATGTTTACATAGCCCTCCTAGGTATATGACCCATCTCTGGTCCTGTCTGTATTATTTATTTATTATATTATCCATATCCCACCTTTAAGGAAGTAAAGTAAAGAAATACATGGGGGGGGGATAAAATAATTTAATAAGGTTGCAATAAGAACACAGGAGGAGCTGTGATCGGAACAGTGGCCCATGTTGTCTAGCATTCCATTCCCAGCAGCCAACCAGATGCCTGAAAAGCATAACAAGTCACAAGGCTGCCTTCCATAGTGCATTCACTGTGCGCAGGGAGGGGGGAACAGTCTGAGGTCACTTGAGGTCATCATTGCCTATCTCCTTTGGTCTCCTATTCCTTGTCATAGGGCCTTTGGTGGTAGACAGCCCTGTGAGTAAGATGGGACAGTGATTTATTTATTTTTTTGGAGGAAGGATATCATCTATGTAGTATAATAGATAGATAGATAGATAGATAGATAGATAGAAAATTTAGTACGGTCGGAGACCAGCTTATAAAACACACTTGGGGGTACAATCCCAGAAGGAAAACAAACATTTAAAACAATGTACAACAATAAACCATCCCCTGACCCAAACTAGTTTGTTAAGAAAATCCCCAAACTCAGTTCCATAGGTGACTCTGGGTCATCTCTCTGCAGTAGCTTATCTTAAAGTTGTAAGTGTCTATATGCTTATTGCATTTATAAATGTAGTATATTTATTATTTTAAAAATGATAGATATCACTTAATACAGATTCATTTTATGATTGCTTATGAATATTTAGTAATCAGAGCACTGATGGGAGTGTTTTCAGTTCTTTGACTTGCTAAAGCAGGTATGGGGAACCTTTGGCCCTCTAAATGTTGTGGAACTTCTAACTTCCATCAGCCCCAGCAAGCATGGCCAATCGTCAGGGATTATGGGAGGTGTAGTTCAGCAATGTTTAGAGGGCCACAGGCTTCCCACACCAGTGCTAAAGAAAGGCGTATATGAAGAACTAAATTTTGTGCTGTGCCTATGAGCACCTGCCATGATTTGAGCTGAGCAGAGCACAGCAGCTAATGTCTTTACCTTTATTTCCTCTTAGCTCTTTTACTGTCGGAAGCCACGTGGGCTAAACGGTGCTTTGCAGGATGTGGGGATCATATTTGCAGGACGGGAGCATTCTGGTGAGTGAATTTTTAAGTGTGTATGTATGGAAATATTTCTAGTTATCAGTAGCAAGTTCTTAGGCATGTTCCAAGCTCTGCCGAAACTGAGACAAACTCCATGGAATATAACCCAAACTGTTCAATAATGACATGCTCTAAAACCAAGAATGCTGGTTTTTCTTATCCTTTTAAATGAGTTTTATTCCACTTTTGTTTCACCCTTTCAAAAAGTTCAGGACAATTTATTAAATTATTTGAAAAAAGTTCAGGGCAATAATTTGGAAAAGTGAAAAATATTTATTGCATATTTCCAAAGCATTGTGTACAATATCATACATTAGCAGAATTTTGAAAAACACTTGTAATATGATGAATAATGTATAAAACTAGAAATTATTGTGAATTTAAGATATTATGGATGTGCACGAACAAATGTAAAACAAAAGAACCAAGAAGGGGAGTGGAGGGAAGTCAAGGGATTTTAGAAATCCCATGTTTGGAAGTTGTTATGGATTGTAGACATAGTATAGTTATTTTTATGTGATTTTTGCTACTGTAAAAATTAATAAAATAGTATTAAACACACACACACACACACACACACACACACACACACACACACAAAGTTCAGGACAGTACCTACTGTTCCCTACCTCCTTCTGTTTTTATCCTTGCAGCAACCCGGTGGGGTGGGCTGGACCGGACTGGGAGGCAGAGTGACTCAGTCACTTAGTGCACTTCAGGACCAAGCAGGGAGTGGAACTTGATTGTCCCTGGACTTACTACCTGCCATGTGTAGATCACCAAATTTTATACTTATACTAGGGTCTTCTTATACAAGGGTGCTTTGTGCATAGCTGTATCCCTACAGGTTCTTTTGTTAAGCAATGAGAAAGGGTTGTGTGAATACAGAATAGTTAACGTGCCTGACTTGGTCAACAACAGCACCATATCTCTTTTTCCCAAGGGCTGGATGATTCCCGGAATACTGCCCGCCTTGCATGGAAGATGATCTGCGATGGGTGTGTGATGAAAATCACTAAATCTTTGGATAAGGTCAGTGGCTTTTCTTCTTGACATATGTGCCAAGAAGACAGTAAGAGTTTGCTGAAACGACTTTGAACTTGATCTTCTTCCTGGAGGATTCCGAGGCACATTTTCTCACTTGGCTGTTGACATCTCTTTCCTGCGGTTCCCACAATATCTTATTTGTTTATGGATTCTTTAGGCACCTCCTGTGAAGAATTCCATTGCCAGATTTTTGTCTCCGAAACCTACTGAAGGAAGTCCTTTGGGAAGCAATGATGGTGCAGGAATGTCATGTCTGGATGAGAGCAAAAATGCTGGAGTTACCACAGGAATTAAAAACAACAAGGAAAACCAACAGCAAGAGTTCAGTCCTGTTCATCTGCATAGAAACGCCCATGTTCTGTCGAGAAATGCCCCAAAGACTGATGGATATAGTAGTGTCCAAAGCTGCTTGATTGAAAGGCTCAATTCCCCTCTTGGCTCTTTTCAGCCTTCGCATAACTCTTTGGGCATCCAGAGTGGGCTAAATAACAGGCACCCAATTTCTAATTCTTCAGTGCATAATCCAGGACTGGTTTTAGTCTCAACCACTCTTTCCTCCGTCAGTATTTCAGATATAGACATAAGTACCACTCCAGATTGTTTATCAGCGCTGGCCAACTGGGAGGATGTAGCTTTAATACCAGCATCGCAAGATGATGAAAGTTTGGGATGTTTGCAGCAGGAGGATGACCCGAACCATAAGAGTTCATTAACCGTTGAAGAGAAGATGGATCTGAATGAGTCGCACACGATGAACTTGGGATCTAAAAGTGTTGCGGATGCTACTCTGAATCTGGAACTCCCAAGTCTGTTGTGTACAAAAGCCCCAGCACTACGATTTATAACATTAGCATAGCCCCAAATAAGTTCTCAGATACTTCTGCGTTTAAGCTTCCCACTGCAAAAGCAAGTGCTGCTTCCATTGATGTGTCAAATGGAACCCCTTTCAGATTGTCATCTGAAGCACACAAAAGGAAGCCTTCCAGTCCAAAATCAGTTCCTCCAGCAAAGAAACCACCCTTTATAGTTTATGAAGACAAAGGCGCAACGCCTAGTACCTCCCAGTTAGTCAGGAGGCTCGGTTCCTACCGCGTCCCTTCCGGCATCTTAAACTCCTCAGTCAACTTAAACCAGCCTTTAAAGGCTGCAGAGACTGGGAGAGTGACCCTCCTTTGTGCAGATGCGGTCGAAGGGCCAGAAGGCTAAATGTTTCGAATGGTGGTCCGAATCATGGCAAAGCATTCTATAGCTGCCCAGTTGGAAAGCAGGCGGGCAATAGAAAGGGCTGCGGTTATTTCATATGGGAGCATACTCTTCAAAAGGAGAAGCTCACACTCCCTACCTCCAGTGCTCTGGGGCTGCCATGTCCTGGACGCAGTTTCAGTTCATCAGGAAATTCTGAAAAGAAGACCCTCGTTCTCCGACCCTCTATGCGAACCTAGCCAAGGACTACATCCTTGACGTCCTCCTTCATGGAGAAAAATGTCTTACACCATCACAAATGTAAGAGGCTATTAGCTTTGTTTCCCCATCTTAGAATATTCTTCCAAATCGTGCTGCAAATGGGCTGTCTATAAGCTTCTAAAGTGAAAAGTAAAAGGATGGGCATCCCTGAAAGGATTTTGACAGTATTGCTGAGGATAAACCAAATGAGGATCAGTAGTTGGTCTTGCCTTTTAAAGTTATCCTGCTGTTTCTATATTCTAGGCTTATCACAGATTATGTCTCCGTTACTAGATAACTGCAAACACATGCATGCTCCATGAGAATCGGTAGCATAGGCTTTTGAACACTTGCTTTTAAAAAGAAATAGTGCATAAAGAAGGTATCATGGTTTTAAGTTTTATATACATACTGATTTTTTTATTAGTGAAGTACAATAAAAGTGTGGCTTGGAATTCTGGAGGTTGACTTCCTTCCAGTATAGCAGCTTAAATTTCACAGTAAAACTGAAGCACTTTTCTTATCTAGATGCTGTATTTCTGTCAAAACATGTTTTGTTTACTTTGGGGCATTACCACCATACTTGAGGCTGGTACGCAGCCTATGGAAAAAGTCAGAAGTTTATATCAAAGACAGAAGCTAACATAAACCCACATCAATCAGAAAGTAAAGAGGTAGAAGTTCTACAACAAATTAAGCAAGCTCAGCACATTAAATGGAATGAAGTTGTTGCATAGCATGGCAGGAGAGTTCCGTGACTTTCTTCTTGAATGCATGAGAAAACTGGCAATGATTTGAAGATGGTTGCCAATATCATGAAATACTGTGCCTATAGTGCTTTCAGTGTCCCAGGAGATAACCCATATTGGTCCGGGCTGGAATTTTTTAGCTAACCATTTTTTATGATCGGAATTAAGTGAAATAAAATATGAAATAAAAACAATTTTTTGTTTTAACAGTTTGGATTTTGCCTGTTGATAGCTTTTTGATTTTGATAGCTCTTTAAGCACTGTAGGGAAGTTACATATGCAGAAATATTAATACTTAAAAGTCTGCTCAGTTGTTCTTAACTATAATCCTAGGAGCTTGCTTACACACGGATGGGGGAGAGGATATTTAAGCACAGATGTGGGCCTCCGGTTGTTGCAGAAACGAAAAATATTCCTGGTATGATCAGTCACTATCACACGCTTCAGGCCCCACTGACGTTCAGTGTGTATTGAATTCTCCCATTGACCTAAATGGGATTTAAAAGAATTTAATATTGGCTGGATTGTGTCCAGCTGAATTAAAAGCCTTTTCTCCTGCTTCAATGATGCCGGCATCATTCAGCATAGTACATCGTTGGTGGGAGCTTTGGTGGGGATGCTACTCTTGCATGGTGACCACCGGATCCCTTGTAGTTTATATCACCCTGATGCACAATAGAGACTGGACTTATTTAGGTTGCGGCCAGGTTGTGTCTCTAGAAGGGCTTTCTAGCAGGGGTGCCTAAAGAAGCTTGCTGCCAGTAACTATGTGGAATGTTGAAATGAGCATGTGTCAACAGTGCTGTGAAGGTCCTTATTTATAACCCCAGACAGTTCACTTGCTTTGAGACAACTATGGCCCCATTGCAACAACTTTTACTCCCCTGATTTTTTCGGTGGCCTGGGTGTGGATACTTCCATCATCCTGTGTGTTGGAAGCTGTTGGGTCAACAGGAGATCTGAACAGATCAAGACCCTTCCATTCTGTCTCTACAGGGGAGTGGGGAAAGGAACTGGCTAACATGCTTGATTACATGTCTAGCTTGTTCTTGTAGCTCCCTGCAGATTCATGGTGATTTTTTAAGCTTCTGAGCTTTGGAATCAACTTTGTGTTGGCATTTTCTCCAGAGTACAATGTGTTCTTTTCTGCATGCGACTCAGCATCTGGAATGAGAGTTACGCTTTGCTTTGCTCAACCTTGCAAGATGCTTTTGGATTTTATATAAATGGGTGGAGGGAGATGCTCAGCCACTGATATTCCCCAAATGCCTGATCCTGCACTGCTTGTAATATACCTCAAAGTCCTAGGGAGTGGGTATGCGAGGGTTGGGGTTGGTGTTTTTTTTGCAGTGTGTGTGTGACAGCTGCAGCATTGGGATTTAAATACAGAGGCTGGCATGGCATGATCTTGCAACATAAGGAACCAATATAAAACTCAGAACAGGCGCTGTGGAAGTAAACAGCTAAATCTAAGCTTTCCCCACTCTGCCTTGCGCAATTCGTTTCTTCTGATTTTCCCACTGATTGTCTTTGGCAGATGTGGCACAAACTCCACCTGTTGGACAAGAGAAGGAATTACAGTGAGCCAAAGAGGGGGCAAAACATACAAAGGGTTTTTTATATGGAGTCTGTTTGTGGAAAGCAAACAGTAGGGCTCTACTTACCCCTATTTCAGGGATGGAGGCTCTTCCAGCCTGTGAGCTACACCACCTGTTGTGGACTGGCTGGATGCTGAGGAATGGTGAGAGGCACCAGCTGGGGAACCCCCAAGAGAGGACGGCTCAGAGCCAGGGGATTGGTGGTAGGACAAGGATGAGGGGTCAGAGGGAGCAAACGGAGGAGGTGGTGTTGGAAGCTGAAGAGGCAACAGGGTTTAGTGAGAAGGAAAAGGCTGTGGCAGAGAGCAGTGCAGACTCAGAGGCAGAAGCAGAGGCAGGAAAGGAAGGGGACCAAGAAGCAGCAATGAGGCAGGCCGCCGAAGAAGCCAGGGAGTCTCCCCTTTCAGCTGTGACCAGCTCCCCTCCCTCTTGATCTCCCAGAAGACGAAGAGGAATGAAGCGGGCAGAGCAAAGGGTGGCATGGTGAAGGAGCCTCAGGGTGCTGGGGAGAGGAGTCTTAGAGAGCAGTGGGAAGGTGGGGACCTTCAGTTCTTGCAACAGCTTCATTGGGGCAAGACCTGCTGGGAAGGGTTGCCATGATCACGAGGCCTGTGCTGTTTGCTTCTTTGAATGAAGAGTTAACTTTGTGAGTTATTGCTGACTTGCCCCAACTCCTGCCTTGACACCGCCCTACACCTGATGCCAGATGTGGGGCACGTAAGGTAGGGGCTTAGCTGCTGGGCAGTGGCTGCAAAGAGTTTCTGAAGCACCCAACAACCATCCTTCATGTTTATTTATTAAAAAATATTTGTATACCACAGTTTCATTGAAAAATGCCAAAGTTACAATAATTATGATACAATTAAAACAGGACATTATAACACAATTAAAAACCACACAAACATTAAAGCAGTTCACCAGCTGATGTGAGGGCAATGCTGTTGGGTTCAGGTGTGCAGGATAGTTCCCTGCAAGGTATCTTCTCATTCATCTCTCAGGCTGCACACACACCAAATATTTAAAGCAAACTACCTCTGCCCCTGAGTCCAGGGAACTGTAGTTTGTTAAGGGTGCTGTAGCTTTGTTAAGGGGTGAACTGTAGTTCCTAGGATTCACTGAAGGAAGCTGCATGCTTTAAATGTATGCTGTGTACACAGCTTCAGAGATTGACTATGGCATTTTTCCAAAGGTTTGACAGAGCCTATGATCAGAAGGGACCGTCTGATTAAAGGTATACAGGTCGGAGCTAAACAGTACAAATTGAAAGCTTTTGCAGATGATTTAGTATTGACGTTACAGGAGCCAGAATCTAGTACTAAAAGAGTATTAGAATTGATTCAGGAATTTGGTCATGTGGCAGGATTTAAGTTGAACAAGTTAAAAACTAAGGTGCTTGAGAAAAATTTAACACCGATTGTGAAAGAGAGGTTTCAGAAGGAGACAGGTTTAACATTGGTTAAGAAAGTAAAATACTTGGGGGTTAACATGACTGCTAAGAATTTAAACCTATTTAAAGACAATTATGAGAAATGTTGGTCAGAAGTGAAAAAGGATTTAGAGATATGGTCAAACCTGAAGCTTTCCTTGTTAGGACGAATTGCTGTTATAAAGATGAATGTATTGCCAAGAATGTTATTTCTGTTTCAATCATTGCAAATCTTGGACAAGATGGACTGTTTCAAGAAGTGGCAGAGAGACATTTATAGATTTGTCTGGCAGGGCAAGAAGCCCAGAATAAAATTTAAAATATTAACCGATGCAAAGGATAGAGGTGGATTTGCCCTGCCAGACCTTAAACTTTATTATGAATCAGCAGCATTCTGCTGGTTGAAAGAATGGCTGCTTCTTGAGAACACAGACATTTTGGACTTAGAAGGTTTTAACAATGTTTTTGGGTGGCATGCATATTTGTGGTATGACAAGGTTAAAGCACATAAAGCATTTAAAAACCATATTGTCAGGAAAGCATTGTTAAATGTCTGGATAACATATAAGGACTTACTTGAAAACAAAACCCCAAGGTGGTTGTCACCGATGGAAGCAAAGGCTCAGAAAAGGCTCAATATGGAGGCCAAATGGCCGAAATATTGGGAAATTTTGGAACAGGAAGGAGACAAACTGAAATTGCAGAGTTTTGAGAAATTAAAAGACAAAGTGCGAGACTGGCTTCATTATTATCAGATAATGGAGGAATACAATTTGGATAAGAAAATTGGTTTCCAGGTGGAAAAATCAAAATTGGAAACAGAACTGTTAGAACCCAAAACTAAGATTTTGTCAAAAATGTATAACTTGCTGTTGAAATGGAATACTCAGGATGAAATGGTGAAATCTGCTATGATTAAATGGGCACAAGATCTTGGACATAATATTATGTTTGCTGACTGGGAACAGTTGTGGACCACAGGTATGAAGTTTACGGCATGTAATGCCTTAAGAGAGAATATTATGAAAATGATATACAGGTGGTACATGACACCAGTCAAGCTTGCAAAAATCTACCATTTGCCCCATAATAAATGTTGGAAATGTAAAGAAAATGAAGGTACATTCTTTCACCTTTGGTGGACGTGCCCAAGGATCAAGGCTTTCTGGGAGATGATATATAACGAATTGAAAAAGGTATTTAAATATACCTTCTTGAAGAAACCAGAGGCCTTTCTCCTGGGCATAGTCGGCCAATTGGTGCCAAAGAAGGACAGAACTTTTTTTATGTATGCTACTACAGCAGCAAGAATTTTCATTGCAAAGTATTGGAAGACACAAGATGTACCCACCTTGGAAGAATGGCAGATGAAGGTGATGGACTATATGGAATTGGCGGAAATGACTGGCAGAATCCGAGACCAGGGAGAAGAGTCGATGGAAGAAGATTGGAAAAAGTTTAAAGACTATTTACAGAAATATTGCAAAATTAATGAATGTCAGAATGATGTCGGATAGAAACTAAGTGGTCTTTAGCCGAAATGTTATAAGGGAATATGAAAAAAAAGGTTTATTAATAGGTAAAAATTTAAAATTACAAATACTTTATGATTAACGATTAGGATACATAAAGAGGGGAGGGATTTGTTGAACTAATAACTGAATTGGAATACAAAAAAGGGAGGTGTGAGGAGGTCCTGGAAATAAGCAAATGAAGGCTAAGTAACGGAAGGAAGGAATTGTTTTTAACTGTTTTTATTTTGTATTTTTCTTTTTTTTCTTTTTTTGTCTTGTAATATTCTGAAAATCTTAATAAATATCTTATAAAAAAACAAAAAACAAACAAACAAAG